ACGGTTTATATCGCATGTTGACCACTGTGAAATAGAGGAAGCGATTTGGTGGTTAAAAAATAGAGGTGCTCACCTTTGTGCGAATAACAATTTTAGCTGAGATTTGTTATTCACCTTTTTCCCTCACTCTCTCTCTCTCTCTCTCTCTCTCTCTATCCATTTTTGAAGCAAAAGTTTTGATCTATTTTCAGTTAGTGGTCACTGCTAAACGGGCAAATTTCGGACGATGCTAGTTTTCACATTGCATAGCCAAGGGCATACGCTAATTGTGCTCATTTTAAAAATAGGCAGCAAGGTAGTGGCAGGTGAACACTTTCACTAATGCTCTTTTAGACTATCAGCAAGATTGTCTAAACAAGCTAGTTAAAAAACTCAATAACTCTTTAGTTACTTGATTGACTGCAAAAAAGAATACTAATTTTTTGTTGTGCGGCTCAATAAATGCATCATTTCCGGGCCCACCTTTATATATTTCTTTAGCGATTCTTTTAGCCACAATAAAGTCACCAAAATCTTTTAGGCACTTTTTTAACAGGAATGACGCTAATCCACAAGTGTGCCTCTTTTTAAGTTGCTCTTATCAACCTTGATTTTGATAAACTTGGCAACACACAGTTTTATCTTTTTTATTGTAAGACTCAATTTACTTTAACGTTTTATAAAACTAAAGCAGACGATTTTTGAGTACCTGCATTTTATTGAATTTTTGTGCACATTTACTGTAACATTTTACTTATTTAAAAATTGACATGGATGTTCAACAAGCTTACAACGTGCTAGGGCTTCAATACAACTCCAACACAGCTGCCATAAAAAAGGTGTACCACAAGCTCGCCCTTCAACATCATCCAGACAGATGTCCAAATGATCTTGATGCTGTTAAAAAATTCAACAGAATTAAAAAAGCATATGAAGTTTTAATTAAATTTCAAAAAGAGGAGAAAAAACGAAACAATACTGCAAAAGTTAATTCTACGGACGAGGAAAACACTCCAACTCAGCAACCACCACCAAATGAGTTTGACTTGGAATTGACACTAGAGGAAATGCTGACTGGGTGCACAAAAGAGCAAACGATAAAACGACGAGTGGCCACTAGCACAAGTGAAACAACGGAAGATGCCTCTTTAAAGGTGGTAGTTAAACCAGGTTCAATTCCAAGTACTCGAATAACAGTGGACCAGCAAGGTGATAGACTCCATAATAAAATTCCGGCAAATGCAGTTTTCATAATAAAGGAAAAACCGCACTCTATTTTCAAACGAAACAAATTTAATCTGGAGTACACTGCAAACATAACATCAAAAGAGGCCGTTTTAGGTGTGCACAAGTTGGAAATACCAACGCTTGAGAAAGAAACAATGACTATTTCAGTCAGTGGAATCATAAATAATGACACGTTTCACAAAATACCTAATCGAGGTTTGCCTTTTGGTGAAGGAAAACGCGGAGAATTGATTGTAAAATTTAATATTTTATATGGTATTAGATTTGTGCTAAATACTAGGTTTATTTATAAATATTTTATTTTCAGAAACGCAACAGGAACAAGCAATTGAGCATAAGATTTTTGTTTCGCTAAACCAGATAGTGTCAGGTTCAACTAAAAAGGTAAAAATTACTCGGAAAATAACTGACAATAAAAACGTGACAACAACTGAAAATGAAGATTTAATTATTGAAATTCAACGAGGAATGGAAAATGAAACTAAAGTGACATTTCCGAAAAAGGGCGATATAAAGCCTGGTATTATTCCAGCAGATGTGATATTTACCATTTTGTACGCAAAACATGAACATTTTACAGTTATAGGAAACGACCTAGAATACACTGCCAAAATTACTAAAACGCAATTTGTAAACGGCGACAAGATCTCAATTCCCTCATTAGATAAGCAAAACATCACCCTTTTTCTTGACAGTATCAGTGACCATTCTGTAATAAAAAAATTTAACAAGCGAGGGCTTCCTTTTGCCAATGAACCAACAAAAAGAGGAAACCTCTTGGTAAAGTTCAAGCTAGTTGATGACGTTAAACCAACAGCAACAGTGTCATTTCCGTACGCTAGAAAAGACGATGATGCAAAGCAGAGGCAGCAAAATGATAAGTTTCCAAAACGAGTTTCTCTACCAGCAAAGGAGCCCCAAGTTTCAAAGTTAAAAAATGACATAGAAAAATTTGAAAATTTATTTAAACAAAAAGACAAAGAAACAGAAACTTTACGGCCTGCAACACTGTCAAAAATAAACAGCAGCAATAACTTGGTTGCAGAAAAAGTTGTCAAACTTGCACCAAAACTTGACCCGATTGATAAAGTTTTCAACGAAGTCATAGAAAATAGTTTATTTCAATCATTAAAATCTCAGTATTCTCAAAATTCTTCCCCACCTTTACTTTTGCCAAGACCGAGATTTCAATATAGTAAAATAAATACGACAACAGTTGTCAACAAAAAAAACCCGCCTGTTATTCATGATCTATATTTAACGCTAGAAAATGTTTTAAACGGTTGCAATCGTCGTGCAAAAATACATCGCAAACTTTTCAACAAAGAACAACCAGTTGAAGATAAAATTGTAACCATTAAAATTCCAAAAGGAACTAAAGCTGGACATGAATTTGTGTTTCGTGAGTGCGGTGATGAGATGCCAGGAACCATTGCATCTGATGTCATTTTCCGCATTGCAGACCAAAAACATCGCCTCTTTAAACGACAGGACGCCAATATTGAGTACAATGTGACGATAACAGAAAAAGAAGCATTTGAAGAAAATATTATAACAATTCCAACGTTAGAAAAACTCGATATCCCTTTTACACTGAACAAATACATTAAAGATGGGAGCACATGGGTCATCGGCAATCGAGGGCTTCCTTTTGCAAAGGATCCGACCAAACGCGGTAACCTTGTGATTAAATTTACCGTTCTTAAAAGTTTAAGTAAGTATTCAATTCAATTTCAATACAATTAAAAAGTTTGACGATCTGTTTTGCGTAGATTGGAAAGCTCCAGTTGAAAAACTTCCAAAACTCCCTGAACTTCCGCGAAAAGACCCACCTGTTGAGACTAAAATTTCCCTTAGTCTTCGTGACATTTTTTACGGTTACAAACTTGAGCAACGCATTAAACGGCGTATCATTAAACCTGATGGTCAGAAAGAAGATCAAGAAAAGGTGATACTGATTGACATTACGCCAGGATGTTTGCCAGGCACTAGGCTGAGATTTCAAAGTGAATCGAACCAACTTGTTCCTGGTAGAGTGCCTGCAGATTTAATTTTTATAACTACAGACATGGAGCATCCAGTTTTCAAACGAAAAGGCTCCAACATTGAATACACAGTAAAAGTGACTGAAAAGGAGGCAGAGAGAGGAGTAGAGTTGGAAGCTCCTTGTTTAGAAGAAGATGGAAAAGGATTTAGGAAGCTTCACATTGAAAGTCCGATTTTTTCTGGAATGGTCAAGACTCTACCAGATCAAGGCTTACCTAAAGTTGAAAGAAAAGGAGTAAGAGGCAAACTTAACATTCGATTTGAAGTAGTCGCCAACAGCTTTAAAGGTTGGTCTAAAAAATAAAATGGGTGAATGTTAATTTTTATTTTAACTCGCCAACAGACCCTGACATTGAAGAAACTCTCGAATTGACAGCAGACGAATTGAAGCATGGATGTTCACAGCGTTATGAATATGAACGGCAGTACTACGATCTTGAAGGAAATGTTCAATTTGAGAAACGATCAATAGAGTTGATAGTTGAACCTAAAACAAAGGTTCCGGCAGTGTTCAAGTTTCCCCGAATTGGCGTTGCTCAAAACGGGCGAATTTCAGCAGACTTGACAGTGTTTGTCAAGAAAGCAAAAAGTAATGGTTTGCGCAAAAAAGATTTGTTACAGAAAATAAGTTTATTCAATTTGCCTCGCAGCTAATGCTTAGTTTTTGACTCTAAATCAGTTTAATTTTATAAAAACATTAAAATTTTATTTACCTACGACTACTGAAAAATTCTTTTAGTAAAATCCAAGTCAATTTTACTTTGGTTTTGGGTTTATCAAAAGCGACCTTGCTGAATGAATAAACTTTATCAGGTCCAAAAAGAAAAAACTGTTCATCATTCAAGAGAAATCCTGTGTTAATGTTTAAACGGTGCTTGTTTTTATCGCTTCCATCACACTCATCTGCTGACAGCATGAAATGCTGTACATTATCATTTGTTAAAGGGTCAAAACAAAAGTTGAGCTTCTGCGAAATTGGTTTGAGAAGATTGGAATCGGTTATATCTCTGTTACTCTCATTCAGCTGGTTTTTGAATGCCACTTTTTGCAAGGCAATAACCGGCTCAACCTGCAGAGTGTACATTGTTTCCGCTTCTGAACTTGAAATGCACAGTACATTGGTCATCCAGGCAAATGGACTTTCCACAAATATATCATTCGTGGAGTTGAAATCAAAGAACCCCGAGTCTAGGGTGTTTCGCCAATCCTTTCGTACTGCAAAAAGAACATCATGGTGGTTTGCACTTTTCACAAGTGCTCCGCTGATGATGCGTTGTCGACCGAGTTTAATCAGACTTGCAGAGACTTTTCCCATGGTCACATTTGTGCTAGAAACTTTCATTCTTTTGGCGTCGATTGCTTCAGCTGGATACAGATAAGTGAAATACTTTTTATTATCTCGTGTCAGAAATAAAAGACTCCCCGCTTGCAAGCCCACAGCCACTATTTCCTGTCGCGGGTCAGACACGGGAGAAGTGAGGTCAACAGCTTGGAGACAAACGCCGAAAACGCTGAGGAGCAACAAAAACGTAGCCATCATCATGTTAATGTTGATAATAATTAGAAAAAATGAGCATTTTAGTCAATTTCAGTAGCTTTCTGCTCTATTGGATGCCTTGAAATGAATATTTACGGATCATTTCATTTTCAACGCTTTTGAAAGCTTTACTTTTGACATACATCTTTCATAAATTTACATTTACATTGTACGAAGTATCACTAAATTTCTAATCAGCAGGCTCAAAGGTGTAGTGCTTGACGCCGGGTGGTGGAGGCCAGTATTGCTTGGGCTTCATTGGATTTGATGTGCGCAAATCAAGCTTACGGTCAATCCACCCAAATAAGAAGAAAGCCGCAAAAGCGCTAACAATCGTACCAATCATAAAGGGTCTAAAAGGCAAAACAATTTAAAATTAAGACAAATAAATGCAGAAACTCGAAACTTACACAGGATAACGATAAATGACATTAGGGTTTGATTTTTCAGACATATGAATATCATAGTCTATGTGCACCGTTTCGCCAAAGTTTCGCCGGCGATAGTAGTAGTCAAAGTCTTCATATGGATCACGAGAATCCTGACCGACGGCTGGCAGCTTCGGATAGTCACCATAACCAGAGCCCTCTTCGTAAGGCTCGTAATCTTCAGGTATGAGGTTGTACTTACGAGCAGCTGCTTCTCGCTCTTCTTGTGTCTTTGGATAGGGACCAGGTTTGTAGTCCCTAACCCAACCGCCTGAAAAAAAGCAAATGTAAAATGTTATTGAGAGATCAAGCTACACGAGCCAATTGCTTACAAAAACGAACTGGAACGATGCACTTGGCGTTGCTCCGACATAAAGACACGACCCGCCTTGAAGAAACTAGGCCAAGCTTGGCAATGGAGGCCATATTGGGCAAACTGGATCGACCAGAACTTAAAACCCAATTTGTTTTGATGACTTTGTTCAGAAACAACAACAACCTTGTTCACAGAAGACGTTCACAAATAAGCTCGGGTGGCGCCGCCTTTCAGCAAAATAACCAACCATTGCTGCTAAAATCAAACACATCAAAAACTCATAGAACTTGAACTGATACAAAAAGTTGTAACAACAAAATACGTTTATTGACTTTTAAAACAAAACATTTTAAAAAATGGCACGCCAACAGCGTATTGTCAGAAGGAAGTAGCTGTATTTACAAAAGCAAGTAATTTCCAACAACGACAAATGGCTAAAAAAGTTAACAACATGTCAGAAAAAAGGTGAAAAGGAGAGAAAAGTCCAAAAATATAAATATCTAATAAATAAAAATGTGTGGCAAGAAAAATGGAAAAGTGTATGATGGCGATGATAGAGGTGGGCTTTTTAGAAAAACCCAAAAGTGCACTTTTAGTCGGTGACTTGAAAATGTGTGCATGAATGAGTGAAATGTTGAAAAAGATGGAAAAATGATGATTGACATGAAAAGATGATTGGGTCCAACCAGTGGCGCACCATTTGAAAAAAAGTAAGCAAGAGTGGGGGGACACATCGTAAGGAAATCCAAAAGTAGGTGGTTAAGTTGTAAGGCACTTGTGAAGGAGGATGAGGTGATGTAGTGACAAGACAAAGTGGGAAAGGATGAGGTGTGAAGAATAAATAAATTAAAGGAGACGCACAGGGCGCCATTAGGACAGCGTGGACACCTACAAACTGTGAGGCGAGAAGATGGTACATCAAATCAGTCAGTTGAGATTCGAGAGTACAAAAGAATGAAAGAATAAATAACATGAGGTTTACATTTGGCTTCTTTTGGTGTGACAATGAAGTACATTTGGCGTAGATGTGAGTAAACAGTAAAAACACTCAGCTCAGTTTGTTTTGAGAGTGGACAATTTAGGCGCGACAATTGGATTCTTCAGAATAAGCGCCGATTCCGAAGAAATGATGGGCAGGCCGTTGTTGCGGTGGTAGTTGATCAGGTGGCTCACTGACTCAAATGTCTTGTCTTTGGTGCGAACCTGTTGAGAAGAAGAAGAAGAAGAAGAAAGGTAAGTGTCAGTTGTGAGTGTAAACCTACACAAGTTTTGCTCTCTTCCAAACTTACCACTCCTTCTGGATCAACCAAAAGCAAGTGCTTGTGTGTGCCACTTTGCATGCCGGTGAGCACGTATTGCTCCCCTGAGCCACTGGACCCCTTAGATTCGCGCACCAGAAAGTCACCATCCCGAATGACCAGCTCTTCTGACTGTTTTCGTGGAATTGGCCCATGAAACCAGTCCTCCTTGTCCAGCTCACAGTTGGCCACGTACTCCACCTCAGCAATAGAGACACTGCCTGCTGGAGCACCTACTGGCTGGCTGCGTCCTTTCGAAGTGGTGCTGGTGCTGGTGGTAGTTGCGGTGGTGGTGGTCGCCGCAACGTTCACGTCATCGGCCAGTGCACTTGTAAATGGTTCTGTTTAGCAAAAATAAAGCAGCAACAAAAAGAGGTCAGTAAGGACAGTTGATTTAGTTTGAGCTGGGAAAACTTACGCATATCAAAGGAGTCTTTGGGTTCTTCTTGGGGCGCCATGGTGCAGTTGACGTACTGTGGATCGTGAGCCAGTGGAGTTTTTAGTTGGCTAGCCGTGACCGTATTAGCATCACCACTGGTGCCATTGACTGCCACTGTCTGGTGATCATCCGTCAGATCAATGAGATTCACCTGGTCGAGAAGGCCGTTCTTCTTGCGCGGCGCAGCATGTGGCACAGACGCCGGCGCTGCGGAAGCTGGCAAAGCGGGCACAATGTCGGGTGGAATTTTACCCGGCAAATCATTGTAGTATTCACGGTCGTCTGCTCGCGGTGGCGGCGCTTGACTGTGCGCGGCCAGTGCGCTGCCAGAGCCGTTGAAATGAGTGCCATCCAGTCTACAGTGGGCATCAGGTGGCTGAATTAGTCATCAATTCATCACTTCAGTGCAATCACAATTTACCTGTCAGTGAGTGCGCGAGGTGTCCGCTTGAGAAACTCTTTGAATCTCAACTCAAAAGCCTGTCCAATGGTGGTAATCACATCCTGAGCCCGACCTCCACCGCACTCGAGCACAAAGCAAGCTCGTCCGAATCGATTGTCCTTAGCAACATAGGCGGCAAAATCCAAAGTGTCCTGCAGAACATAAATTGCACATTAAAATTGACTGTTCACAGTCTTCACCAGGCAACCATCACATACCGTATCACCGCCGGAAGCGAAAGAAATGTTGGGCATTTCATGCTTGGCCAAGTGCTCGCCCGACTCGGCGACAATGAGATTGAGATGGGCACTTGTAATGGAGAGGTTCACATCGACACCAGCGTTTTCTGCATTTGATTGACAGGGAGAGAAAGAGTGGTTAATAAAATGAGCAGCCGCTTCATGGCAGGCGAGAGGCCAAAAAGACTTACCCATATTGGGAGCATCAGCAAGCATGCGTGCAATACGCTTCTCGGTACGGCGCTTCTTATCAGCAGTCTTGAGGCCAGCTGCCTCGCAGACGCGATTGATGCACTCCTTGGCGATGAGTGAGCGAGTATCAAAGTCGAGCGATTTCATTGAGGTATTCACACCCAGACAGCCAATGTACTAAGGGTAGGAAAAAGAAGAAATGACAGAAGTAACGGTTAGTGGATGGATGGGCAAAGATGGCTGAGGAAGCAATTGAAGGAGTGAATTGAAGCAGTGAGACGCCGCCGGGCGATCGCCGGATTGCGATCACCGGTGATGACAGGCAGCAAGAGAGAGGGAGATGGAGAGGATGACCTTCAAGGGTCAGCAGCAGCAGCAGAGAGTGCCTAAGGAAAGGTAGTGTGCTTGTGCCTGTGACTGTCAGTAGAATCACGTGAGATGGCTCGTCAGAGGCGCCGGTCGTCTACTGCAACCGGTCGCCATCGAGACGGGACCATATCCACTGTCAGACTCTTTTTCTTTTTCTCTGTTGTCTCCCTCTTCTTTCTTTGCCAGCACACACACCCTCCTTTTCTCTCTCACTCTCTCACTCTCTCACTCTCTCTCCCTCTCTGCCGACGTAAAACAAGTGTGCCCAGTGTTGTTCTCCTTATCAACTGTTGCTCCATTCGCAATCAGTGTCCACCAATCAGTGCTCTCAGTGACAAGTCTCACTCTGGTGTTGCCGTTAATGTGCTCCAATTTATCATACGGCAAACGGCAGCCTGTTCTACACACAGCAGCGAGATGCATTTTAGTGCCATCATTTACCATTACACAACAACTGCACCCTCTCACTCTCGAGTTGTCTTTGTTTCCGCAAGCAGTAAACCACAAAGGCAATATACAGAGCAGTATTAATAGAGCAGTTGAGCGTAGCCTCCTCAATGATGCCTCTTTGAGGCAGTCTAAAAGGTAACAAATCGTAAATAGACTTTTTTCGATTGTGTGTCTTGCAAAAAGATATTTGTAAAAAAGTGACAGCAAGCCAGTGAAGTCGACCCAACTGAGATATTCCAAGTTTTCTCAATGGAAGTCGCCCAGAAGTACTCATTTCCTCAATGTCTGTCCATCCAGCACCAATCAATTAGCAGTGGTTTGTCAGCTATTTGATCAGCGCCAGCAGCTCTCAGTGGTGTCCAATGAAGCGTCATTTAAATGCATCCGGTTCGAAAAAGTCAATTTGAAGGTCGGCTGCATTGCAACGAGTGTGGCCTTCCACCACCAAACGAAAAAACGCCGGCACTGCAGCCACAGCACTGCTAACCTGAGAACTGGGGAATCGGTAAAATAAACAAACACCCACACAGAGAGAAGGAAAAAAAGAGGAGACACAGCGCTAATGGCAGAGGAAAGAAAAGACTGCCAGCGTGACAAAAGACCCTGCGGGGCTTCCTCCAAGGTCCGGCGGTCTTGCAGTGCACTTTCTCAGCGATCAACGACAATCACACACAGCACGGCGCAAATTAGCTTTGCTTGTCGGGTGATTAAGACGACCTTGTGCCTGTGTGGCTTCCGGTGGTCAGTGGAAAGTGTGCGAGAGGGAGAGGAAGAGTCCAGAATCGAGTGGAGTAGATCTAGATTGGTGGGCACACTGCAGTGCCGCACTGGAGCAGCACGTCCTTCTTCTCCGTCGCTCGAACAGTGCTCCTCAAGCGTGTCCGCCGTGGTCACAGTGGTGCTTTGGTCGCTTCTCCTCTCGCCCTCTCTCTCACTTGGCCCGTCGACGTCGTCGTCGAGCTCCAGAGAGCAAAGTGCAGTGGTCGTCTCCGTTGCCTGCTGCCTTCTGCTTGCCATATGTTGCACAATTGGGACCCGCAATTCCTCAGTGCTTTTGTCTCACGCTCTTTCGCCTTTTTCTCCGTCTCCGTCTTCCTTCCTTCTCTCTCTCTCCCATTGACTTGTTCTCATTCATCTCTTTACAACCTTCCCAACTTTAATCTGCCATTTCCTCTCTCGTGGACACACTTGTGCACTGGTAAGGGCACCAACAGGCGCTTCTGCTACGGACTACGCGCACACACATTGAAAAGTGCTACGTGCGCCAGTGCGCTTCTTCGTTGTTTGTCAGCTCACTGTGCCTTCTGTGTCTCCTTCCTCCCTGGGCACGTTCTACCCGTCGCAGCAACTGTGGAGGGCAACAACAACTGCACCAATTTACATTTCCACCAACGACAGGCCCATTTGAGTAGCGTAATAGGTTCCTTTCACACACAAAAGGAGAAGCCAGTGAGTGAGCACTTCCTTCCTCAGCGGCAGCAGCAACAGCACCGGAGTACTACTTTGCCCAAGGGGTCAGAACTACCGTCCAAGACATGCCGCCATTAGAGAGAGTAAGAG